GCCTCTGGGCTCTTCCTTTTTCAAACAAGGCTTTGGACTCTAGAGATTAAAGTTTGGGTCCAAAGTCAGAATTCTCTCCAAGCCAGAATTCTGGCGAGATTTCAATCCCACTGCTCATTACACTCCAGATCCTGGTGCCCCCTGGTTTTATGCAGTTTACAAAGTGGCTGTAAGTGTTATGAGGCCACAGACAGTTCACCAATGTGACTCGTTCACCCATGTGTCTCTAAGGCGCGGCACAGTGCCTTGCCCAGTGGAACATGTGATAGATATTTGTTGAATGAACAAATGAATGAATGAATGAATGATTCATTCTCGGTCTGTACTTTAGACTTCATGAAGCCTTCTTTCTTCCCCTTCCTCAGGGCCCATTGTGGGTTTGCCAGCCTTCTGGACTCCAACAGGGCTTACCATCTGTGCCTTGTTCTTTGGCAACTAGCCAAATTCAACTCCGTTCAATTCAACTGACTTCCACGGAGCCTCACTATTGGCAGGAAGCACTCCCAGTCTCCAGGAATGGCGAAAGCATTTCCTAGTCCATGGCCCCCTCAATTGTACTTTTAAAGCAAACATGGCATGGAACAGAACCTTTCCAAGATGTTTTGAAGGCCTAAACACATAGTTGTACGTTACTTCCCTTTGTCACCACACTTGATTGCCATCCAGGAAATAAGCAAGTTCTGGACGATGGATAAACCGATGATTATTTGACAGGTATGGGGTAGGTTTAGAAGAGAGGATGAAGGAGGGGAGGAATGAGACCTAATCTTCGTCTGATGGATTTGCAGTTTCATTAAGTGTGGTGGGGAAATGAGGTTGGCATCTCAGCCATTCAGGGCTGGCCTGGGACTGGGATCTGAAGGGATGCACAGCAGCCCCTTGAGTGAAAAGAAAGCCAGAATCCCCCCACACACACCTGTTGTTTTTTTCTGAGGGTTGGGCCTTTTTAAATTTTATGAGTAGTCTCCATTCCTGTCTCCACCCGCTTCTATACATCTCCCGCTCCCCATTGCCTGTCTTCTGTAAGTTAGTAATGTGCCTTCTCTCTAGCAATTATTTCATCCAACAGAATTAGAATTAGCTTTGTATGTATCCACTGAAACATCGTTTTGAATAGCAAAAGCTTGGAGGTAACCAGAGATCATACTATAAGAGCTAATTTATGTATATAACGGTAGATCTACGGTCTCAAATATTGGGCAGACAGTACCACAATGTTATAAAAATAGCAATCGATACAGGAAAAATTCACAAGATGTTTTTCTTAAATGTTTATTTATTTATTTTTGAGAGACAGAGAGAGCACAGGCAGGGAAAGGGCAGAGAGAGAGAGGGAGACAGAAAATCCAAAGCAGGTTCCAGGCCCTGAGCTGTCAGCATGGAGCCCAACGTGGAGCTTGAACTCATGAACCATGATGAGATCATGACCTGAGCTGAAGTCAGATGCTTAACCAACTGAGCCACCCAGGCGCCCCACAAGATGTTGTTAAGTGAACCGATAGGTTAGAAAACAATGATGTGTATGTGCACAGCACATGTGCATGCTATTGGCAATTTTTTTTCTTGGTGTTTTTCTATTTTCTAGATTTTCTGTATTGAATGCTGGACTCTGAGTTAAGGTACCACCAGGAGCGGTGCGTTGTGAAGACTCTGAGAGCACAAACAAGGGTATCGAGCAAGGCTTCCCTCAGTCAGTGGATTCTGAGGAAGGTGAAGGGCACAGAGCATTGGAGAGAAACTCAGGGAAAATGCAGATTTTCAAATTCAAGGGGGAAGAGATGGCACCCATTGGTGGTGAGGACCTAAGGCCCACCAAAGACTGAACTTCATGAAAGAAGCAATGGGGAACATCTCTGAGTTTCTGAACATAGGGGTGAATTGCTGGAAGTGGTAGTGAAGAATTACAGATGGTCTCCGACTTAGGACGGTTTGACTTAAAATTCTTTGATGTTAATGATAGTGCAAAAGCAACACACATTCTTAGAAACAGTACTTCCAGTTTTGAATTTGGATCTTTCTCCTGAGCTAGCTGTATGTGGTATACGATTCACTCTCATGACACTGGGTAGTGGCAGTGAGTTGCATCAGTGGGATAAATAACCAATACACTCTGTGTAATAGCCATTCTGCTTTCAGTACAGTATTCAAGAAGTTGCTGGGGGCATTGAACACTTTAGTATCAGATAGGCTTCGTGTTAGAGGATTTTACCCAACTGATAGGTTAATGTAAGAGTTCTGAGCACTTCGAAGGTAGGCTATAGGCTAAGCTGTGATGTAGGTTAGATATTAAACACATTTTTCACTTAAGATATTTTCAACTTATCATGGGTTTATCAGGACACAACCCCACTGTAGGTCGAGGAAGATCTGTATTCCAGCCAGAGCAGGGTGGATTGTGTTGTAGGCAGGGAGATCTGCCAGGAGACTCTGCCATTTGCATATTTGACCTGAGGTAAACGAGAGCTTGGATTAAGCTTGTGGCAATAAAACCAGAAAGGAAGGGGCAGATGGACCTGAAAAAGAATCAGAGCCAGAGATTCAAATTTGGCTAAATATATGGCAGGTGGTCGGTGAAACCATGTAAAGAGACACTTTCCAAGGAAATGGATGTTAAGAGAGTAGCTGAGGACTGAGTCTTCAGGGATTCCAACAGTTAATGGGAGGAGGAAAGAAGAGGAGCCAGCAAAGAGGACAGAGAATGATGGGTCAGAGAGATAAGAAGAGAAACTTGAGAATGCAATGCCACGAAAGCCAAGGACAGGACAGTTGCAGGAAAGAGTGGGTGGTTGATGGTATCAAATTCATCCTCCAGGTCAAAGACACAAACTGAGCCGAGACCCTTGAATTTGGTCAGGAGGTCATTGGTGAACTTACAGGGAGCAGTCTGGCAAAATGTCCTGGAGTCTAGAAGGTTCTAGGGAAGAGAGGTGGAGAAATGGAGGCAGCTCATGGATACCATCCATGTGACAAGAGTAATGTGTTAGGACTGAGAAGAACGAGGCCAAGCTTTCTCATTCTAGTCCTGCTACTTAACTGCTTGAACTCGTTTCCTCTTCTGCAAATGAGGAATAATCCTATTAGCTCATAACTCTTGGAAGTACAATACAAATGTAATGATTAAGGGGTTTCTTCCTTACCTCCCCTCACCGCCCCCCTCCAAACCCTAGAGATTTCTGAGCATGATGTAACAGATAAGAGGAGTCTGTTCGCTTATCAGTCCTGTCCCTAGATTGATAACTGTTTTTGAGAATTTTCTAGCTATGTCTGCTGGCGTTAGTCATGCCAAATCACTAACAATTCTTTCCTCAGCCCCTCTGACAGAAGGACATTGAGGCAGGTGGTTAGGAGGGAGTCAGCGGTCAGAGCCACATGGACTGTCTCTGAGTCCTACAGAAGTTGTTAAAAAAGGCTCTGTTTGAGACCCTGGATATAGAGCCCTGGAGTGCCAACCTCACCCCAACACACAGAAGGCTGCAAGCCCTGAAGGGTGGCTGGGGCAGAGGCACACGAAAACCCTCTTTTTTTTTTTTTTTTTTAAACCTTCCTTTTTTAATCCATGGTGCCTGCAGACTGAATGGCCCCTGGACCGAATGGTCTCAAGTGGGCAGCTTGAGGAGCACCTGGCTAGCTCAGTTGGTTAAGCATCCGACCTGGGCTCGGGTCATGATCTCACGGTTCGTGGGTTCGAGCCCCGTATCGGGCTCTGTGCTGACAGCTAGCTCAGAGCCTGGAGCCTGCTTCAGATTTTGTGTCTCCCTCTCTCTCTGACCCTCTCCTGCTCACGCTCTCTCTCTCAGAAATAAATAAAACATTAAAAATTTTTTAAAAAGTGGGCAGCTTGATTTTCAAGGTGTGCATAAGGGCATATCCTTTTTTTCATTCCTTCTGTTCTCACTGGGCAACCAGACTTGATCAGCACTACCTCCTGTTTTTTTCTACTCACTACCTACAAATCAATCTCTTGAGCCCGCTTCCTTTGTGAAGCCCAGACCGTGGTCTGATATTTGTGGTCGTGCCTTGTTTTCCCCTAAAAGAAAATACCCCCTGGGAAAAATATGGCTGCCCCACAAGGCCCCAGGGCCTAAACCTGTTACCAAGCCCTGGGGAGGCACATCCTGGCCGAACTGGATGTGGAAGCGGCAGGTGAGCATATTTTCTAGAAATTGCATTTTTCAGATCCTGAGACATCTAGAGAGTGTAGTCAAGGGGCCTTCTTACTGCCTGTGTTCCTTTTAATGGAAGGGCTTGGTTTCATTTATGGGAAGATGGCTTGCCAGAGGGAAACAAGGTCACATCATGAATGGTAATAGTCACATGCTAAGACGTGTAGGCCTTTTTAAAGCATGTGATAGGACGTCAGAGCAGGGGTACTTCCAAGGAAGCTGGTATATTGTCGCAAACCTTTCTGGAAGACCAGCAGGTCGTTCTCTGATTCAGTCACCAAATCTGTCCCGAGCATCTTCAGAAAAACGTGCTCTCCCCTCGGGGCGCGGGGGACGGAATTAGGGATGTTAGAGATAGGCCAAGGTCCTGGTCTACGGGAGCAGGCGCCATCAGATGCGCGGGAGCCGTCTGGACTGTCCCCCGTGCGGCAGAGCTGACGGAACCCTGGGGCATGGCTTGCCTTGGGGGGCCAGATACTGTCTCTGGGCCAAAGCCGGGCCTGCAGGGCAGGTGGCCAGAACTTGGAAGGAATTCTCTTCCGCAGCCCAGGGTCCAGGCTTCGCCCCAGCAAGCCGCCCCGCCAGCCTCTGCCGCCTGGGGCCTTGCGCATTCCGCGCCCCCGTCCCTCCGCCCCTCTCCAGGCCTCGCCCCCTCCCTTGTCCCCTTCTCCTCCCCCCAACCAGCTGTCCCCTTTCCCCAGAGCGCAGAGACAGCCAAAGCCTGGGAAGAGGCGGCCTCGGGCCGGAGGGGGCGTGGTGGGGAAGGGGAGGAGGGCGGGAGTGAGGGGATAAGGAGGCCTGCGCAGCCCGCGCCCCCAGCCACTGCCCGCCCAGGAGCCGGGTGCCGCTCCCGCCGCCGACGCCTCCCGCTCTCTTCCCTCGCCCAGGGGGAAAGGTCAGCAGCGTCCTGGAGCCGCCGTGTCACTCCCCGACAGCCATGAACTGCAGTGAGAGCCAGCGGCTGCGCACCCTCCTCAGCCGCCTGCTGCTCGAGCTGCACCACCGGGGCAACACCAGCGGCCTGGGCGCCGGCCCTGGTCCGAGCACGGGCATGGGGGTCGTGCCGGACCCGTTCGTGGGCCGCGAGGCGACCAGCGCCAAGGGCGACGACGCCTATCTCTACATCCTGCTCATCATGATCTTCTACGCCTGCCTGGCCGGGGGCCTCATCCTGGCCTACACCCGCTCCCGCAAGCTCGTCGAGGCCAAGGACGAGCCGGCCCAGGCCTGCGCGGTGCACGAGTGGGCCGCCGCCGACGCCGAGACTGCGGCCGGCTTGCCGGCCGAGGGCCGCCGCCAGCTCGCCCCCGGGGTGCCGCCCGCCCCGGCCCAGGGCGCCGCCGCCGAGGGGGTCTAGAACCGCGGCCCCGCTTGCTTGCGCGCGCCCTCCTCATCTCCCGCGTCCCCGGGCGCGGCGCCCGCCTTCTCCTTCCCTCCTTCCTGGTGCCGCCTCACCTGAGGCCCAGAGAAGGAGAGGCCCCCTGACCTCGTCCGGCAGGCCCTGGAAGAAGCACCACCCTACCCACCCCAGACGCTTTTTTCCCTCCTCTCCCAGCCCCCGCGCCCACCCCATGCCTCCACCCCCGCCCCGCACACCCAACTGCACTAAACTGCCTGTGCTCTCTTGTCTTCAGACAGCCCTGACACCACGCTCCAGCCCCCTGGGAACTGAATCCAACACGTCCAGCACTTGGCATTGAAGTGAAGCAATGAAGTCCATCAGAACTCTGGGCCGTCTCACTCTGGGACTGCTCACTCCACGGGGCCGGCGGGCTTGCCATCACTGCCAGGCCGGCGGCCGCGGTTCCAGCTTCCTGTTGCCTTAGGGACTGAGACAAAGAAAAATGAGGAGACCCCAGACATCTTTCCGCTCCCTCCCTCTTGCAGCAGGGAGCTAGCAGGACACTAGGAGCAGTCTGTGGGCTAGAGTGGACTTCATGGGGACTGAAGGGGGAGGGAAGCTCCTAGGAGAGGGGAAGATCCATGACCCCAACTGTATGACTTATTTGCATCCCTTTGTCATCCCAAAGGTAACGGGCCTGATTTTTAGCAGTGTGGCCATCTTCTGATGTGGGTAACTGTTGCTGGGTGAATCACCTCCATACCTCCAAATGCCTCCCCTGTATCAGTTCAGTTGCCGTGGCAGGGGTCTGCTTCATGTATGGAACAGGAGTCTCAGACGTTCCCCTCCCCCTGTAACCTGGGTAATGTCAGAGGCAGGTAAAATAAAGGTTGTTTAAGCAATAACCTAAGACTCTTCTCTCAAAGATCTCAGCCTTGAGACCCGCTACTATACAGAAAAGGAAATGATGTTTAGATGTGAGGGTTGGGTTGTTGCGATATTTAGATCTATATATTCAATTCCAATACCATAGATGTGATTGTGGGTGAAGAAAAGGTTGATATGGTTAAATGGGGTTTTTTTTTCCAGCTGTTTCAAAAGTGGTATCTGATTTCTTTTTTTTCCCCTTTTAACTCTGAACTACTTTGAAATATCACAGTGCGAAGTAAGGGTTTCCCACTTAAGTAGTTTTTTGGGATACACTTAAAAAAAACCCTCTCATACCCATCCCTATTAGCTATTATCAAAGGTAGGTTTTAGAAGCTACCTTTGGATGTCTTAATCATGTGGCTTATTAAAAGAGAAAAAGCCATCAAATAGTGTACATCTTGAGTCAGAGGGACGACACTTCAACTAAGCCATCTTAGCAATGATGGGTAAAGCTACCGGTGCATGTTTATTGGTTTGTTCTCCTTGCCTCAAGAAGGTCATCAGAATTTGCCTGCTCAGGGCTTAAATGCTTATACCTGATGATGGCTGTTTGGGCTTCATCAAACACACATAAAAATCACCTTTTAGCATTAAGCCAACTTGCTTAAACACTGCTGGTTTCTGTGACAGCAAGGCAAACATATTATGGGGCACTTAAATGAAGTGATAGTACGGAAACCTCATTCGAGGCATTGGCTTTGACCTTGTAGCCCATCTGCTATTTTACTGGAGCTATTAATAAGTTAAATGAACTTACTTTCATTTCCAGGATCCACTCCTTAAAGATAGGCTGCCTTTGCCCCATTGGCCGATCTCTAGTTTTAGTTTCAGCATCAAAGCTATGCAGGTGGGGGCCAGGGATGGGGCAGAAGTCCAAGACAATGACAAGAAGAGAGGGGATGCTGTGAGAGCCATCTCATGGCCGCCAAAGTGGATGTAAAGGGAGGGCACAAATACCCAGCCATGATAGGGGCATGTGGGGAGAACAGTCCCCAGCCCTGTGTTTGAAGTACAGCAATGCCCCTCATTTATCTTGCATAATTGCGGACACACAGTTGTTCCGACAATGAACCGTAATCACTTTATATATATATAAAGGAAGCTGGGAACCTCTTGGACGATGCCCATAATTAACATTAATTGCCAGCTGTGAGCAAACAAATCCCACTGCAAAAATACTTCTGCTTTTAAAAACATTTTAACTTTTTAAAATGATGGTACGGTACCTGTAAAGAGCACATAGCAAGAGGAGCGACAAAACTCTCCCAGTGAGAAAAGTGACCTGGCCCGGGGAAGACGATTTCCTCTACTGTCTAGTCACTTTTTCCAAATACACTCAGGGTTGAGACTGTGTCCCAGAGAGTGAAGTTTCCCAGAGGTCTGGGCACTCAAATCTCTACCAGCCAATGGGGGTGTCAACAGTATTGAGGGAATCATATTGTGGTCAGCAAAAGATAGAAGAAAAGAAAACCAGTGGCTTGGCAGTTTTGATAATGTATTCCTGAACAGCCTGAGCTGACTGTACAAATTGGGGGAAATGTTAGCCTTTTCCTGAACGTGATTCTAATAAATTGGAGTGATTTCTTTTTTCAACCCATCCGGCGAGTCTATTTTTCCCTTCTGTGTAAGCAGATCCTGTTTTAGGTCAGGTCAGATCTTTGCTCCGTGACAATAATGAAGAAAACGACTCATGCTTCCTTAATTGTCATTTGAGGCTTCCAACAGAGCGCGACTAGGAGATATTTTGAGTTCCAATGTCTGGAAGTGCTCATCAACAGAGCAAAAATAAACGGAAACTTCTCTTTCATTATGCACAAAGTTCTGTGTTGTCGATTGATGGACTTTTCTAGAGGGATATAAATGGGGTCTTTCATTAGTTTGTAGTTACCATCTTCTCCTTTTCAATTTGCCATCTCTTTTGGAAACCAAGGATCTGCCCATGATTTGTATCAACAAAGAGAAAAGGGACTGGGTGGCTTTCCAGACAATCTTGCCTGACACAGTGTGGTGGAGAGCACAGGACCAGAATCAGAAGGACTGGGGTCCAGAGCCCTGGCTGTGCCAAGTAGCTGGCATCGTTTCTCAGAAAGAGCTGCTTAACCTCCCTGGGCCTGTCTCCACAGCTGTGGGGATTTGAGGATCAAGTAAGATCATGCATGGGGAAAAGCTAGATGTAAAGCAGCTATTGAAGCATAGGGCGTTAAGTTTATATTTTCTCTTTCTTTCCTTGGGGGAGTGCCTTTGGATAGTTGTGTGGGTGGAAGGTGGGGCAGAGGAGAGAAAATTCTCCACTATGTACAGTCTGCTCTTATTACTTAAAGGAGAGGATTGTAGGGACTTGGCCACTGGCTCCTCGATTTCTGAGCCGATCTCCCCCATTCTCAGAATCTTGGATGACTAGGGATCTGTGCATAACTGTCTCCCCATCCTATCATTCCCTTCACTCACAGGCCCACAGTGCCCTCTTTAAAAAAAAAAATATGACAATTAATACTATACTTTCAGGGTTCCACCAGGACTGGAATGTAGACTTTGAAGACAACGGGTCAAGAACTGAAAGAGGGCAGAAGAGAAGAGAATGAAGGGAAGGAATCATGGGCTTCATGAGGGAGGCAGGAGGAAGAGCAATCTAGAATGTTCTATGAATGTAAGAGAGAACGACTGAAGACCACCAAAGGTGGGTGGGTTATGGGAGTCGATAGCCAACACTAGGTGAACTTGAATTACCTATCAAAATGGCTTTGGGAGAAGAAGCTGGATGAGAAGTCACTTTTCAGCCCCTGTTGTTACTTACCATACCTACAGCCTGTCCAGGAAGACAAAGTGATTAAAGCAACTCTTTCTTCTGTGCTAGACCTCAGAGCATACATAGGAGACAGAAGAGAGCCTCTGTCTTTCGGCAATCTGTCCCTGGTGCTTGTCTATGGCCTCTTTCTCTTGGCCAAAAGTTTAGCATATTCTCTAGCCTCTTCCTTATTTTTCTTAGTATACTATTTCTTCAGAATAATACTCCCATATTAATGTTGCAGGACACATGGAACACCGGGACAATGAATTTTGCGCACTTTGGGCCTAGGTGATCCCGCCAGTCCCTCAATCAGCTGTGTTTTAGTGGAGGGCAGGGTTTAGGTAAAAGCTGTGGCCTCGGCCTTTTCCTCTGAAATGAATACACTCAGGGCAGACAGGAGGATACCTCATACATTTTTTAAATTGAGGTAAAATATACATAAGTAGGGGCGCCTGGGTGGCTCAGTCGGTTGAACATCCGACTCTTCATCATGATCCCAGGTCATGATCCCAGGGACATGGGATTAAGCCCCACATTGGGCTCCTTGCTAAGCATGGAGCCTGCTTAAGATTCTCTCTCTCTCCCTCTGCCTCTCTGCGCCACTTACTCTCTCTCTAAAATAAAAAATAAAATAAATATACATAAGGTAAAATTTACCTTATTCATTTGTAAAAGTGTACAGTTCAGTAGCATTAAATACATTCACGTTCTTGTGAAACAGTGCTTTTTTAAGTCAGAGAAAAAGGCAAGGAGTTAAATTACTTCATATAGACATGGCAGGGCTTAATCATTGCTTCACATTTTATAATAGATCACACTCAGGGGCGCCTGGATGGCCCAGTCGGTTAAGCATCCGACTTCAGCTCATGTCATCATCTCCCAGTTTGTGGGTTCAAGCCCCACATAGGGCTCCATGCTGACAGTGCAGAGCCTGCTTGAGATTCTCTCCCTCTCCTCCTCTCTCTGTCCCTCCCCTGCTCTCACACTCTCTCTGTGTCTCTCTCAAAATAAATAGACATTAAAAAATAGATTATATGATAGCTCACTCAGGACAAGTTAAAGGTGAAGCTCAAGGAGAGAATCTCTAGTTGTGGATTTTGGTGAAATCAGAAAAAGGTGATACCTTGAAATGTTTACCTGTGTTGTGGAAGGTGCTCGGGGGAGGGGTATACTGTACTTCCCACCGTATCTCAAGTCACATCCTCCTCTTACTACCAGATGCTCTCAGAATCCTGGGGAGGACTAGGGTGGTCACGGATGACTGGCTTCCACTGTGAATTTGCTGAATTCCCACATACCTGACCACAAGATGTCCATTCATGAAAATACCTCAGGTCCCTGAAGAAACAGGGGGCCTCCCCTTGGCACCTCTAGGATCTCAGTGTAATCTAGCAGGGAGGGGTTGCAGCTCCAGCAAGCCTGGAAGAAAAAGAATAGAGACAAGAGGCATGTTAATTTCATTCCTTTTCTCATGGGCAGCTCCTCTGGGGGCACTGTGGTCAGGACCAGCCCTTGACAAACCTATGGAATTGGTATCTATCTTATATTTTCCCTTCCTGTTCTAAGCATCATCACTTGCTGCTCCAGTCCTACGTAACTGTTCCTTCCCTGTCACCAAGGGCTAATGATATTCATTCATGTCTAATCTGCTATTCATCCCAGTGATGATCCAAAAAATCATATTTTT